CGTCCAAGTAGTAGGGCTATTTTTCTTCAAGCACACCAGTGAAGATCTAAAAGGAGAAAAAGTACTGTGATTTCGAGACCCTTTTCAAAGAGCAACTGGTGCACTTTCTCTGAGGCAACTTCAGTGAAGACGGTTCAAAAGGCCCCTCTTCCTCGGGAAAAGGTTTGCAACAGTTAAGGTAAATCCCAGAGGAAAATGTATATTTTAGATTCATTCTTTTGGGTTCATAGCTTTTTGTACGTTAAACGTAGTAAGACTAAAGAATATAATCAAATTAGTGGACAGGGTTTCCGGACCAAGCGTCTGTGAGACACTAGAGGCCATGGAATCCTCTCTCTAGTCACTTCGTGACAGCATCATGGGACAAATGTGAGAAAGGGTATGCGGCCACACGATACTACTCGCCTAAGCGCCGTTAGTCTACAACTTCGATAGACTGTTTTTCTCTTGTAGGTATCCGTATATTCTTCTCGTAGCAGTAGTCTCGAACTGGCCGAGTTGACGGTTCTGGAAGCCCACGTATACTCACCCAGACTGTTTTCGGCTGAACTCATGGATGTAGCAGATGATAGCCCGATATTTACCACGGAGGACTTTCGGCTTTATTCCGGGGGCTAATGAACCGTGAAGACATTTTATATACCATTTGAAAGTATGTGTCTCGAGGCTTTCAAGCAAATGATTCCTACCTTGGCGTTGACATCTGATAAATGGTTAATACCTTGCGGTAATAACCCGAGGTTGTCTTGTTGGCTGTGAGCAAGGGACGCCAGCTGGTCGCGGTCGGTCCCAGCTGCGAGCTTCCATCATTTTCACGTGACCATGTCGCAAAAGTCTTCCAAGTCCCGAAAAATTCGATGTTGTTGCGAGGCATGTGAACCGATTGGCAGCACGACTTTCGGCAATTGAAGTCGGCTTTGGCTTACTTCAGGTCACTTGGTTGTCCAAGCTCCATAAGCTTGGCATTGAAGACATCTAGATTCATGAAGTATCCTGTTCGACATCGGTCCGTCGGCGTAGCGCTCTCGCAAACCCACTGTAAAGCACTTCATCGAGTTCCTCTCATCTTGTCGTCTTTGGTAGGCATGAGTTTGTTCCAGCCATCGGGAATGAAGCTATGAACATTGACTATCTCCGGGAAGTTTAGCACCGAGCTTGACGCTCTAATGGCGGGCTGGTGCGTTATTGGACTTTGTAAAGCCATTTGCGTAGTTACAGTCTTAACCTGACCTCTGAAGATTTTCCTGGAGCACAGACGACTCCAGAGCCCGGTACGAGGTATTCGGCTACGGCACCAAAGACGCCATCCCGCGATCGTGGTTGGAGGGCTGGAAGGTCTAACTTGGCCTAGGTAAGGGAGCTCGATATGGCTAAACCAAATGCCGCTGAGCCGCCTTGAAATTTCCGTACATCTTTTTGACGCGTATAATCTTAGCAGAGGATTTCCAGTTGTTGGGAACCGAATTTCCAACTCTCGGATTGTGTCGCAGATGTGAATGGACCTCTATTCCCGAGCCTCCGGGACTGACGGTGGATCTTGACTGCTGGCAGACATTCCCCGTCTGCCCCCCACGGCTTGAGTAGAAGTAGCCAACACTGAATGTTGTTGGGAAATCATGTCTAGTGACTCCCCTCCACGTGAAACCTGTTCAGCCAGTACAGCGCACGATGATCACGAGAACAAACAGTGTAACAGATGTCGAGGCCCAAACTGCAGAGGTGATGTCACATAACCCCCCTCCCCCCGGCCCTGACAGAGCACAAACCGGCCTTCTAGCCAGTCCACCGAGCCAATGATCATCAGCTCACTCCGCAATCTGAGCGTCTTCCTTCGGTCCATCTTTATATCGAGCCCCGGACCACTTACCCCAGACTCGATGAACTGCCGTCCATTTCCATATCCAATCACCACCACGAAGCTGGACTCACCAGACTTCCCGCCTCACTTACCCTCATCTGACAGCCATCCTCCAAGCTGTTAGTTCGGGGGAATTGAAGCCATATCGAGCAAGTGATGGACATGCCAAGGCTGGGTCGCGAACTCTCCGTGTGTCCGTACATCCTCTCTATTCTCTCCAGAGATCCACCACGTCTTCTTCAACTGGCTGCTCCAACCTTCACCCCGCACCTCGACCGGGCATGGATGGGGCCATCTTGGCTTCCCCCGGCGACTTAGAGCACGCGGTGACCGTCCCCGCAATCCTCTCCAAACACCCGTTACCCCAGGTAAGTCCAAAAGACCGTTGCTCCACCCGAACTCTTTGTTCACAGCAAAGAATTGAGTACCGGTACCTGTGGTGCTGTGTTTCTGGTCTCTTGATCGGGGACTGCCAGCCATGTAACCATGGAGAAGCCAAGAAGCAGCCAAGGATGCTCATGTCCCTCTCGCTTTCGTGCAGAGGAAGATCAGGCTCGAAACGACCGAAAGTGCGGCCGGCTTGAGCTCTTATAAGCTTTCGTCTGACCCGGGTCTCCTCGTTCCAGAAGAATTCTATTTGTTCTCGGACGCGTCTCACCACATTGCCAGCTGCAGCCCATTGGTTCAACGGCTACTGCCACGTCCGCCTCGTCACTGAGGCTTCGACCTTGCAACGGTCGCAATCATTCCAACATCTCCTCATTGCTACCACCAGACCAAACACAGCGTTTGATCATTCTCGTCAAACCTGCACGATGGGTATCAAGGAGTTATTCCATAAACGGTCTTTGCGCCAGAAGGACAATGTCCGCACGAACGCTGCCGAGTTGACGCTAAAGGAATCTCTATTCCCCATTGTTCTTGTCACTATCCTATTTTTTCTCTGGGGGTTCTCTTACGGTATGTCGCAGCAACACAACAAATTGATGAGCGGATACATATATGCTGACGTATCATCATCAGGCCTCCTCGATACCCTGAACAAGCACTTTCAGGATACACTTCATATCACCCGGGCTAGGTCCTCTGGCTTGCAAGCTGCTTACTTTGGGTATGTTCATCGTCATAATCCCCTATCACCCGGGCACAATCGACGAAAGCGATAATCGCCGACATGCCTCGTGTCGGCGTCTACATTGGCGTCTACTGTCTTGCGTCTATACAGCATCTAGCGAAGCGACACACAGTACACCACTATTGTCACCAGACCCCTAATACTACACGTTTCAAGATGGCTGCAATCATAGAAACAGACACTGACTCTTGCCTGACAGAGCCTATCTCATTGCCAGCCTGGGGCACGCGGCGTGGATCTTGAGACACTGGGGCTACAAAGCCACCTTTGTCTTTGGACTCTTCCTATACGGTCTAGGAGCCCTCATTGCGATCCCATGCATCATCGCCAAGAGCTTCGGTGGCTTCTGTGCCGCCATCTTCATCATCGGTAATGGTCTTGGCTCCCTTGAAACAGCCGCCAATCCGTACATCACCGTCTGCGGTCCTCCTAAGTACAGCGAGATTCGAATCAACATTTCTCAAGCCTTCAATGGTATCGGTACCGTCGTGGCTCCCGTCATGGGCTCATATGTTTTCTTCGCTTTTGACGACAAACGTGCTCTAGAGAATGTCCAATGGGTCTATCTCGCCATCGCCGTCTTCGTCTGGGGATTGGCGATCGTCTTCTGGCTGGCTCGAATCCCCGAGATCACCGATGCCGATATGGCCTTCCAGGCTTCCGAGACGCACGCCAACGTCGACGACAAGCCTTTCAGGAAGCAGTACCGTCTCTTCCACGCTTCTTTCGCCCAATTCTGCTACACTGGTGCCCAGGTAGCCATTGCGGGGTTTGTTGATATTTGTCTAGAGTCTGTAGAGTTAAAAGCTAACGGTAGTCCCAGATTCTTCATCAACTACGTGACAGAGCGCCGTGAAAACACTGACAACGCGCTTGGCTCCAAACTTCTTGCTGGTGCCCAAGCCGCCTTCGCGATAGGCCGTTTCGCCGGAGTTGGTATTATGCATTACATCAAGCCCCGTTTGGTATTCTTGGCGTTCCTATCATCCTGTATCATCTTCATTGCTCCTTCCATCACGCAGAAGGGTGATATCGGCATGGCCATGCTCTACATTGTCCTTTTCTTCGAGTCTATTTGCTTCCCGACAATTGTGGCTCTCGGCATGAGAGGCCTGGGCAGGCATTCTAAGCGTGGCAGTGGCTTCATTGTTGCAGGTAAGTGTTCCGTCTCACAGTCGACACCATTGGTTTGGTATCTAATGCATACAACCCAGGTGTATCCGGTGGTGCAGTCGTACCTCCGTTACTTGGCGTCGTTGCCGATCACAAGGGCATGGGCATTGCTATGGTCATCCCTCTCATCTTTTTTGTCCTGGCATGGACATATGCGTTGGCCGTCAATTTTGTCCCGAGATACCGGAATATCGCTGATGCTTTCAGTGAAACTGAGGTTGGCATTCGGCCTGTGGAGGGAGAGGAGGAAAAGGGAGGCATCGAGTCGGTCGAAGACAAGCATGGCAAGAACGCCGTCCCCACTGTGGCGTGAGATGTTGCAATTGAGAAATTCGTGAGGCATGACTTCGTATAGAAGATTGAGAATCGCATATTCAAACTTTCATGCATGAGATACCATATAGCTGCTTGGCAGGCAGAGCTTGTACAAGGAGTATATTGCACCTTTAAAGAATTTACACAATCATTCCATTGCCAAGCATCTTAGTTCTAGGTGGACTGTTCAGCTTAACCTAGGTATAACCGTAATAAAATAAGATCACAAAGCAAAGATCTAAGTAGAAGACCTATAGAGTAAAATATTTATATTTTATAGCTTTTATCATAAGTACGCAGATAGCGTTTCTGCCTGATTATAAAGTTTTAGCGCCGTTATTGTCCGCTGCGCGGCGCGGTTTAGTAATAGCGTTACTTCTTAGGTAGATTAAAAGTAGTATTATAGCTATAATCGCCGGGTGTAGTCGGCTAGGCGTTTAGCGAATCGGTGCGGAACCAGATTTAACGATGCTAATAACGAGACGATGACCGGGTCGACCAAGTAAGGCCACACCGGCCATGCGCGCCGCCCTCCTGGCATTATGGACATTCGGCCGGATAGAGAGTAAAACGAGATACAGGGGTATTTCAAGGAAAAGTAAGACGTAACCGTATCAAAGACGGCAGTCGGCCGTACTCTAGAGTATATGAATATAACGACAAAGATGTCTCGCCGCATCGCGCTCTAATAGAACCCCGATCTTCGTGATTACTATTTAGAACGCATTTCTTGGTATAAATCTTGGCAAATTATATTTATCGATGAATCGGGCTGCCTAAAATGATGGTTCAGGAAGAGACGGCATAGAAATAGAGAGTTTATCAGACGGGAGTTCAAAATACACTTGGAGTGGTGCGTTGATGATGTTAAAAGCGATGCAAATTTAGCAGATGCTCAGGGAGTCAAGAAGGACTGGGTGAGTGATAACCTTCAGGAAGGCTATGGCGATAGACAGCCGAGTCGCGCTAGTATCTCGACTGATGTCAAGTGTGTCCCACACGACCTCAAATCCCCTGTTTGCTTCGTCGACGAGATCCCTACCAATCAGCTGCTGAATCTCGCGATCCTCACCGTCCAGGATCTCGAAAGCGCCGACCGTACTGTGATGCCCAACCCACTCTTCCCCAATCTCCCCATTCCCCTTGTTCTTGTGTTGCTCAACTCTAGCCGTTGGGCTCAAGTCAAGGCAGTCGGCCGGCACCACGCCAGTGACATTGGTGTTCTCTTTTGTGTTTGTCTCCGTTCGCAACACACACAGCATTGGGTCTGGAGAACAACGCGAACTTTGCCAGGGCCCGAGGAAGCGCAAGACAACACACGCACGACTTGATGTATATTCCACATCAGCTGGAAGAAAGGCACGTACTATACTTCCATTAGAATTATAAGCATGACTGCATAGCCTCGCAGTCTCTCTTCAATAGCTCAGTACTTTCCCTAATCTTTACAGCACATAAAGATATGAAGCCACAGTTGATATTATGATATGTATTCCTACTGATCTTGTCGCTGCTCCTTCTATCCGACATGGTTTTTCTTTACCTCACAATTCAAGCCTCTGGCGCTAAGAGATGCGGCTTGACATCATCGGTAGTTATCTCTTCAATATCAGTAGTGTAAAAATGCTCGATCTTTCTTATCAGGTGGTCATCATTGGGGGTGACAAAGTTGATGGCGATGCCTTTCCGTCCGAGATATCCGCCACGACCGACGCGATATATATAGTTTTCATGGTTGGCAGGAAGCTCGTAGTTGATGACCAGGGGAATTTGCTGGACGTCTATGCCACGAGCAAGCAGCTCAGTGGCAATTAAGAAATGAGTAGAGCTAGAACGAAATTTCTCCATAATCGTAGCACGTTGAATGGCAGTCATATCCCCGTGTATAGCGGAGAAGGGAAGATTGCGGGACTTTAGCTTGTCCGTCAGCCATTCGACCTTTCGGCGGGTGTTGCAGAAGATGATTGTCGAAGTAGTGATACTATTGCACAGATCGAAAAGAGTGTTGAGCTTCCACTCCTCCTCGACCATGATGTAGAACTGCTTAATACCCTCGGGGGTAAGCTGATCTTTCTTGACCAGGATGTGAATAGGGTCATGCATGAACTTGGTGGTGACCTCAAGAACGTCCTGGGGCATAGTGGCAGATAGAAGGATTACCTGGGTCGACTGAGGTAGGAGCTGGAAAATATTATAGATTTGCTCAGTGAAACCGCGCTAAAAGTCAGATATTAGCGACTGAGAGACGTCAAGTGATATTTAAACGGAAACTTACAGAAAGCATCTCGTCGGCCTCATCGAGAATGAACATCTTCATGGCATTAGTCTTGAGGAAGCGACGCTGGATCATATCGTGAATGCGGCCAGGCGTTCCGACAACGACCTGAGGGCCATCCTGCATCTGCAAGGCCTTTATGTCATTGTGTACACTATTTCCACCAAAGCAGGCATAGCACTCCACGTTCATAAAGTCGCCAATAGCGACAATGACCTTTTGAATTTGCTGAGCAAGCTCGCGAGTCGGGGCCAAGATGAGCGCCTGGCATTGCTTGACCGTGGGGTCGATCTTTTGGAGAACCGAAATGGAGAAAGTAGCCGTCTTGCCAGTACCAGACTGAGCCTGGGCAATAATGTCGTAGCCCTTGATGATGGGCATGATGGCACGCTGCTGAATAGTCGAGGGACGCTCGAAGCCATAAGCATACACTGGCCAGATATCTGTAAGGAGCGCAGATCAACTGTGTGGCCGCGCCGCAAGCTTACCACCACGGAGCAGCTCAGACGCGAGGCTCATGTCATCGAAGGACTCGACCGTCTCGTCATAGCTGGACTCGATTTGACCTGTTTCACAGCGTGTTAGCCTAAGACCTTGTCCATGCTGAATAAAGTGCAAAGTTTTGCAGGCCAGAGCAAGCAAAAACTGCAACGTCTGTACACGAGCGAAGCAAACCACCGTGCCCGCCACAAGACAGGGATTTCGGAGAAACTCACTCTCAGCGGCGTGTTCGAGTCCCTTGTCAGTAGCCATGGTTGCGGTAAAGAATAGTCTAGATCAAGCACAGCTCGATCTAGAGGATAAAAGTCGTTGGGAGGTGGGGCGACTCAAGAAAGGTTCGCAGAGTCCTCGATCAAGAGGGCTCCGAGTGTCACGAAGAGTAACTTGTAAGTCGAATAGATGCGTGCGCTCTAGGAAAAAGGGTTCAGAGTTGTTTATTGGGTTTGTTATCCCATCTGTCGTGGCATGACGTCAGTACAAGCATCTCCAGATTTTCTCCAACTTCAAAAGATTCCTCGGAGATGCACTCGTGGGAATAATGGAAATAGGATCGGATTATCGTATAATTTGCTATTACCCCTCACAAAGGTATGTGTCTATGTACTGACGTCATACCGCGACAGATGTCGCAGTTTGGCGTCCCTCACCGCAGACACATCGCGGGTCTGCGATGTCCGGAACATGTCGATTAAATAAGAAATCCTGGAGGCCGATCTTCTCCGTTCGAAGTTGGGTGAGCATAGAGCTCTGTCGTTTGGGCAGCAGAGGTCTTCGTGAAGTTGGACTACCTTCTTCGAAGGCCTCGGTGTATGGCGAAAGGTCGCTCTTCCTCTGGTTTCCGCTGCCCATTTGGTTTTCCAGCTCTGAGATACAGTCTTGTTGATCCATGTTTTCAATGTCGACCTGAGATGTCGCAGCTCCGAAGGCGAATCTGCTTTAGGGCCAATCTGGTCGTCTTCTCTCCACCCAGTCGCTTCCTTGGCTGTTCTGTCGGCTGCCTCGTTGCCTGGAATTCCTTTGGGTGATGGGATCCATCTCATCTGGGGTCACGCATAGATAACCTGGTGGGCCGTGGCAACGTACAAGGACCGGAGGAAGGGTCGGGTCCAGCTCGCAACTGGGCTGGTATCCAAGGTACCGCTGGTCGTCTGCCGACAGCTTCAAGGAGCTTGTACATTGGCCGGAGAGGACGGACGCGCATGTCGGTCAACCTAGAGGTCGGAGTCCAGGCCCGGCTCGCACTTGGGGAGCTGCGGCGCGATGTCGTCCCTGGAAGTGCCGGGTGCGGGTGGCTCAAGGTTCAAAACCCATTGCGGAAGCGAGACCGGCTGGACTAATTGTAGAATTGCTCAGTTGTTGTCGTCCCAACGACCAATATTGCGTCGATACATACGTCTATAGTTCCTCAAAACCCAAACTTTTTAACTAACTAAATACATCGAATAGAACTCATAAGAGAACGGTGCGGTATGTCCAAAGGCGATACATGCCATTCTGCTACCCCTTACAGCGATTACGTAGGTATACTTTTGTTATGTCACAACCGCTTGGACAGCATTATCTCTTTACTCTCCAGTCCGGGGCAGCGTTCATTGAAGGCTGTAAAACTGTTGGGGTCTTCTAAAAGAAAAAGTATATGAAAAACTGCTTGTACTTAGCACGCTTCCAAAAATTCCTGGTGCCAAAGCCATTACAACTATCAATGTCATTTTCAATTACCCCGAATCGAGGCGTAGCTATAAAACATGGGTCAATGTGCCCATTCTATTTGAAGAGCTAACCCGGAGGCGGAGAAAAAAGGTTGAGCGCCATTCTTAGCCTCGCGGATCACAGAGAATTCAATGACATGAAGCTCAGGAGGCTCAGAAGCAAGACCTGTCCGATGGATCTTTTGCTCGCAGAGCATCGTATTCAAAACGGCCTACAAGTCGCGTCGAGCGGCTACTCGCTTACAAAGTTACTTACTTATCACTGCAAAGCCACGCATCAATGACAGTCTAATATAAATCCAGCACTACTAGAAGAGTAAATACGTCCTTATAAACTCGTTCAGGATCAGAGAGAGTGGAACGAAATTTCATCTCTTGATTGCGTAATAATCTTTTTACGTCTACACCAGTTCGCAGCCGTGTCTATTTAGAAACTTCTGAGATTGGTCACGGCTGTATTATCAATGTTACCTTCCATAAATGGGACGTAGTGCAGTAGGCGTGAGCATTTGACCATCTAACAGCTTGAACTGTTGAGAGAAGTGACAACAGTATGGCACCATAGGCAGCAAAGAGTACCTCGGCATAATAATGATGCCTGCCTCTCTGACATGACTTTTGGCCATCACACTACGCGGCTCCGGCATTTTTGTACCCCACATCGGACCCGAGCACTCCAATCAGGCCGTGGCCGACGACGACCTCCAGACTCTCGCCGATGACGGTTCCAACAAGCCGACGATCCTTTCCATCTCAGCCTCGTCGCGTCCCACATCGAGACCGAGATGCTGCCGTGTTCCGTATCATGCAGCGAGGGCCACTCAATACTTTTGCCTGCGGCTACTCTGCATGCCTGAGGGGTCATGGCGGTTTAGCGCAGAGTAGGTACGTGTAAGGTAACCTAGTCAACAGCTTTGGCGCGGCGGGACGTCGCATGTAGCGTTCGTGCAGATAGGATCGTCGTCCGAGCTGCACAACTCATCACAAACTTATCGACTACTTCTCTGTGGAATTCTCGCATCTCATTACTTCTGGCTACCGTTTGTTTGGATACTCTCTACTTCATGAATGTGCGACGAGAGAAACTCGTCATGCGATAGGGCCATTAAGAACCGAGCAGGAATTCACAGTTTGCCAGATTAAGCATTACGCTGAATTCTTAGGACTTGACATTAGTTTTATTATTGAATGCAAGATAACATTTCTTTCGGTCTCTAAGCACGCACTCTGGGACTGCCAACCGCATCGTGAATACCATTTGTTGGCACGTCATTCGCCGTTCAGCCTCATTCCGACGATCAGGGTTCTCCATAAAACCCGCCATCTGAACATCGTGGGCCAAAAAATGGACCGGTCGCTGGCGACACCTTTGCGGTGGGTTCAAAAATGGGACTTAAACATTCTACTTCAACGTCTGCTGTTCACACGATTGCATATGGGAATAGAGGTTAATCGAGTTTGTCTGTGCATATAAATAGCCAAGACCCAAGAGATATCAAGTTTGATCGCCAGAAGCAGTTCAAACTCATCCAGCCGCCTAGAAGGACATACCCATGGTCCCTGGAATCTTGTCTATTTTTGCGGGTGACTGCGGCTAGCCCTCGTAGCGGCTTACTGCTGTGCTGTCGCTAGGTGCACTTATCATTAAGTTTTATAGTCTTAGAATGGGAAGGTCTCTCGAGCGAGGCATCTTATCTGAAGCTACTGTTGCTAGTCCAAGCCTCCAGTCTGATGCTAAGATATTGACACTCACGGTCCCAGTCCAGGTACGGTGCTGACGGTAAGCAGGAGGTGCCGCAGTTACCAAATTTCGCATGCATGGTGATGGCCTTCGGTACGGATCGTCGCGTTTCGCGGGGTTGGCGGAGACACTGAGGTTTTATGGTGGTCCTCCTCTGGGGTTGAAGCTATCGTCACACTCAACATCTCTATGTGGGGTGGATGGAATATGATGATTGTGGAAGTTTGGGGCGGCTGATGCTCTTTTACCTCAGCTCTTGACTCGGACTCGACAGTTCACGCCGATAACTACTCTAAGAATCCCAAAAATCCTTCTAAGTTGCCAGCTTAGCCAGGATCGAGCAACGAAATCTTGGAAATTTGAGGCATTTTCTGTTTCTTCACAGATATGATCTGCCGTGATTCATCTTCCCGATTCTGACCGACAACGATGTAGATCAACGTTGCCATTTTCTGTGCTGTAACATTAGTCGAAGTGATTTACATCTCTTTCCCTGCAGTTATTGAGTTGAGTTTCCCTCGCTGACGCCATTACTGACTCGTGCGACGTCGAGCATTGATTGATGCAATTCTGTGTTATCTTTGTTTTTTTGCATACGAGTGAGAGCTATGACGATGAGTTACTGCCACGTTCGCAATATGGCTGGATGAGGCGTAGTTCTGCATGCTTGCTCGCAACGACGGGCGCAGACGGTATCAATCCGCCTAGAGGTAGATTACGGTGATTGGGAAAGTCCCCTATGGCGCTGTTTCGCTGTTATTCTCGGTTACCTTTGCGGGTATCTCTTCTTCCCTTGACCAGCCTCTTCAGTCCGCCGTCCGGACGCAAACCGGCCTCATTGCCTGATCCCGATGCATTAAAACGTAATCTTACCGCAGTCGTAGGCTACTACCTACGGCATTGGGCGTGAAATCCCTCATGAAACCAAGTTTGACAGTGCAGCCTCGCCAGGGTTCAGCGTCCAGCAAAGGTTTGAAATATAGATCATCATCCAATGAAGATGGCCGTCATAGCAACCAAGACTCGAAAGCGAAATCCATTATCAATGTCATGCCGGTGTGGTGGAGCTTTGGCCCCATTCATCGGTGTGAAGGTCAACTTCACCGCCAATAACACGGCTTTCTATTTGAATTTTTGGTCTTTCTGCTTGACTGCTTCATGCATCGTGCCGAAAGCTGAGGGTGATATTTTCCACCTTGCAGCCCTTCTCCACCAGAGATCGTCTCTCTGTCTGCCTGGCCTGCGGCTTGCCTGCTGGTGTTCTGCGAGTTGAAATCCCTATCATATCTTCTCACGGTGAGACGGGGCTGTTCCTCTTGTTGTTAGTGCAGCCCATGTCCACTTTACGAGGCATTTTGTCCAGTGAGAAAGTCTGTATTGTAGTCCACAATCACGCCAGGCTGGGGAAAAGTGCTCGCCGCCTTGGATGAGATAAAAGATAAACTGGAGCCTCGCGTGGGTCACTGATAGGGCCTTGTCTCAGGGCGCGAAATAGATAGGGGGGTCGCGTCGTCCGGCATGCATCGATGTTCATCGACATTCCCGAAGTTCTGAACAGGGATTGTAGAAGGCTTTTTTTTTTTTTTGGCGCGGTTACGCTACGGATACTTGTTCTCTCCCTCTGGGTGTGTGTGTGTGTGTGTGTGTGTGTGTGCTTGTGTCGGACCAGAGGACAATCCGGGCGTCTCCTGCCGATCTACTACCCGGTATGTAGTAGGCGCTTCCAACTTGCTGGGCTGTTTGGCTGTCAACTTGGCATACATGTGAAAATCTTCTTTGGACAAGCCGTTGATCGCTGGGCCCTACCGCCTTAGCCTTCGGAGCCGGATTTGCCATTTGGATTGTCTTGGTTAGTCGGTGTACCTCCGTTGGCTATCTGTCTACCTTGCAGATGATTGTTGCTCAGAGCAGAGACATTGAGAAAACTCTGTCCGCCAATCCTTGACCAAATCTACATGTACTATTGAGAAGGGACACTCTGTACCGCTGGCGACACCGACACGACCGACACCAAGCAACGCACTCAAGTCTGATACATACTGCGTAGAGCTGCCCCGGTCAAGATGGGACAGGACAGATGGACTTCCGCCGATAAGACAAGGTGCAGAATCCAATGGCTATCAAGTTGTTGCAAACGCACAGAACTTCTGAAGAGGCAACCCATTGATACAGACCTTGACATTGGCTGCCCAGGCTGAAGAAAGAGCGGGCCCTTCCGAACACTCCCGATAGGGGTCCTGCAGGCAACATGCCTCCATCTGCTTCAGTGCTTTCATCTCTTGTCTCCATTTACCTCCCGGAATCCCTCAATTTCGCCCTACCAGTGACCGCGATACATCAGGACCCTCCCAAGGTTCCAATGACATCAGCGAAAAGTCTGAAACCACGTTCCTGAGTCTTGCTGGGAGGCAGGGCCAATCATCGATGTGTGGCAGGGATGAAGGAGTTTGTCCCAAAAGGGCTCAAGCGACAAGACGCTAGAACAACTTTTCCAGTCTTTGCCTTTCAACAATGCGAGATACATTGCAAATGTACATGTGAAATGGCAAAAGTCGCGACTCGCATCCATCTTGCCTCCCACACCCCATCTCAACATCCATGCCATGTCATCCCGTCCTGTGTAGCGCATCCGTAGTCCCGTTCCACGACTTCAACGCTCGTTTGACGGGGTGGACTCCGGTGTCCTGAACTCGTACCTGCACCACGCATTTCGCACTCAACATGAGCATTTGCGGGAACTTCTCGGGCTTCAGAGATCCATCTTCTGATGGGGCATAAGCTGCACCACGTTTTACAATGGTCCACTTCCACCGTGATGCCGTCGGCAGCTTGACGTCATAACGGGCCAAGTTGCGTCTGTCGCTTAGTGCGGCTTTTCCATTTTACACAATACACCTTACCCAGGATATTGTACGTACTTTCGTAATGAATCTTGCAAACTGACCCAGTGTGTACGTGGAAACGTCGTCTGCCAAACCCCCCTAACGTTCAACTCGATATCGATGCCGATTGCTGTGCCTCGTCGATGCCTCGCGTGTCTATCCGTCTGCGGCTGAAACGGCGCCTAGTGTGTGGATAGTTTGTCCTCGGGAATAATTGACCGAACATAGTACCTTGGTTCCTCGAGGCTTGGCTTGTAGGAATTTGGGATCACTGCAGCGATTCCTGCAGCGGGCTCCAGTTTTTCCCTCTCTTGCGTCGTAAAATTTCTCACTTTGAGTGTAAGATTTGCGCTAATGTCAAGGCCGATATTCGCCACAGCCGCCGAAAATCTTGAGGCTTAACAATCCGATCTATTGCTATAGTTGAGCCTCATAACAGAAGGTTCAGAACAGTCAATTCATCTGATACCTCGCTTATCCCGCTAGACACGTACCACATGAATCGAGGTTAGCAGCCAGTTATCGGGGCTTTGGCGGTGGGAAATACGATCTGAGGCCTGCCTCCACCTCCCACAATAGACACCGTATTGCCGTCAGAGAGACCGAGGACACCCTGACTCGGACGTCGTTCATCGGCGCAGCGTCGGCGGAGACACGGCACGTCATCGGCCCATTCACCGGCGGAGCAACGGCCCAGCATCGGCGGAGAAGCTCTACGTCATTGGCTCCAGTAGCAGCGGGTCAAAGGCCCAGAGATAACGGGGCATCAACCTGGTACCGTTGAGACAACGGACGAATACCGACTGGGAACCGCCGGCACCGACTCGAAGTCGACATCGAGATACCGACTCAACACCAGGTAGCACCAAGCACTCGCAAGGAGGCACCGACCCTCAATAATCTGTACGGAGTACGGGGCAACATGTTGGAGAACGGGTCCCATCCAAGACGGGGGGCATCAACCCAGCACAGACGGGACATTCACGGCGGGTCCGCGGCTGGCGACAACAGAGGACGCCATCGGTCCGAAAATGGTAATCAGAATCAACTGTGGTAATTAGACACAGAGAGCGAAACGTCGAAAAGGATAAAAAGGAATAGATAACTCGGCGACATCTGCTGTTTCTCTTTGAACATCACTCACACATCAATCACAATCAACGGCCTCAACCACCCCAACAATTTCTTCTCTTGATACCCATAGAACTCTTCACTCCTCAGCATCAACTACAACATCAACATCATTCAAAATGGCCGCCCAATTCGCTACCCGTCAGCCTGAGCTCGGCATGGAGAAGGTTATGCCTACTCGCCAAGACTCTGGATACGCCTCCCCTTGCGACTCTCCTCGCCTCACCGTCCGCCTCAACGACGGCAACGAAATCCCCCAGATCGCTCTCGGTGTCTACAAGGCTCCCAACGGCCAGGAGACTGAGGACGCCGTCATCGCCGCCCTCGACGCCGGCTACCGCCACATTGACTCCGCCGCCAGATATGCCAACGAAGAGGCTTGCGGCCGTGCCCTGAAGCAGTGGTTCCAGAAGACCAACACCCCCAGATCCGAGGTCTTCGTGACCACCAAGCTTTGGGACGCCGACCACGGCTACGAGGCCACCTTCAAGGCTCTCTGCGACTCCCTCGAGAAGTTCCAGCTCGAGTACTTCGACCTCTACCTTATCCACTCCCCCTCAGATGACAAGGAGAAGCGCCTCGCTTCCTGGAGAGCTCTCGAGACTGCCCAGCGTCTCGGCAAGGTCCGCTCCATTGGTGTCTCCAACTTCAGCTCTCACCACATTGAGGAACTTCTCCAGGAGACCACCGTTGTCCCCGCCGTCAACCAGATCGAAGTTCACCCCTTCTGCCAGCGCCAGGACCTCGTCGACACCTGCCGCAAGCACGGCATCGCCATTGAGGCCTACTCTCCCCTCGCTCGCGGCAACAAGCTCGAGGACCCTACCATTGGCAAGATCGCCGAGAAGTACGGCAAGAGCCCTGCTCAGATCCTCCTCAACTGGAACGCTACCCGCGGCAACATTGTCCTCCCCAAGTCCCTGACTGCCCACCGCATCCAGTCCAACTTCGAGTCCTTTGACTTCGAGCTCTCCCAGGAGGACATGGCTGTCATCGACGCCCTCGGTGCCGAGAATTACGTTACCGGTTCCCTGCACAAGGAGTAAATAATGTCTCATCAAGACATTTGGCCTGAGGGCCCCTTCAGTTTGGCAACACCCACCGCTGGATCTTCCAGCAAACAACTGAGCTTTCCTCCATCCTGAGAGCATTGGAACAGCCATTTGCATTGCCGGCGTGACGAACTCCGCACGTCGTCCATCCAGGACATTATAAGGAGTTGATTGCCATCAACGCCACTTGGCATTATATTCCCCCGTCGAAATATTTGGACAGGAGTTTGGGTTGATCATTTTTTTTTTTGGGAGGATATAGACACATAGACATTTCATCTAGACAAGCGAGCTAGACTGCAAGCCGGGCTCAGCCTGGTACGAATCTTACGCCTCATTTCTCAACTTTGCTCCCACTGCTTCGTTTTCGTGACATCTTGAATTGAGCTAGCCAAACAAATTCCTCCGATGGGCACAGCTCGAGCTTGCGGGCTGTGGCAATTAACTTCCAACACACAGAAAGTCGTTCCGACAGCATTCAGTTGATCAATAAGATTATGGGCCCCTCTCAGACTTAGATCGGATCAACCTCAAGACCCTGGAGTGTGGGCACCGTGGGTTCACGATGCAGGAGCCAGATCTTTGGGACGGTCGCATAAAGTCTTCCGGCATGGGTTTGGAGGAAAAGAGGGGCTGGTGAGAAATGCTTGTTGAGGGTACCGAGTGCACATTTGATGTGATCGTCGTTAGGAAGATGACAAACAGTATAGAATCGAATCTGTCGTACATTCAGACCACAACTCTTCAATTCTAGCGCCCTCAGCATGGTCGCAAATACGACTCGATGTTTCTTTCTTCGACACACTTTGCATTCAGGAATGTGACTGAAGCTTGAGGCCCACCCATGTGTACCATCCACGCCCCGATAGCTCAAGCCGTTTTGCACACATCCAACCAGCCATACCTAGCGGACAGTAAAATCTCATAAGCCCATGCTTGGTTCGAATTGAAGGTCCAATGGCATGGCATCCAAGGTATTTGCGAGCTCCAGCGCCGATGCCATCGGCCAATCCCAGACATTCCATTGCAGCTGGTCAAGTACCGGCTGTTGGGCTTCTCTAGCTGAGAAGGTCTTCGTCCGGAGCATGTCGAGAACGTCGGCACATTGAGTGATGTACCCGTTGGAGTCGTCAGCTCTTAAATGACGTAAAGTTGTAGCGCATGTCTTCACCAAGTCTTCTGCCTCCTCGTCTCCAGCGAGTGGGTGGCCTTTCCACCTCGCAAACAATATTGTCAGACCCGCCTGCCACAACATGTGCAACCCGTTTGGATAGAGATGTGCGATGATGATGGAATCTATCCTTGGGGCATCCATCTCCACGGCCGAGCCCAACACAACCGCAGCAGTCAGTCTTATCAGCTCAACCGAAGCACGACCGCATGCCTGCAGAGAAACTTGAAATTGAGGATCGGCGGTTGTGAAAGCAAGTGCAGGCCGATGGACATGCACCGTTGCGTTGTAGAATGCAGTGCGTAGGAAAGCCACCTCGAAGTTGTCGATCGAAACCGTCAAGGGCAAGTCAGCGCCATCGTCTTCCAAGTCTGCGAGCTTGTCTGTTGGTAACATCCGCTCCCACAATGTAAGTTCAGCTTGCAGTTGTGTAATTTTCGCTATCCCGCCGCGCCGTCTAGTCGTCGAGTACAACTTCTCCAGAGCTTCTCCCACAATGACTGCAAGTTTGAACATGCAGAGAGCCGTGTCGACTTGGGATCTTTCGCCGGGTAAGGGGAAGACCACGCTCTCACGCGATACTTGGTCGTGGTCAACACGGGAGGGTAAGTCTGTGTCCACGTCCTGGTCGCGTATCAACCTTGGCATTCCATGGTAAGCGCTGGAGAATCTGATGGGAAAGAATTAGTCAAGACACCCGACAAGCAGGCCGGTCTTCCAAATACCTACGTATCAAGAGAGTATTGGCACCACCACACGCGCCGCCGGAGTTCTGTCTCCAAAGGATCGAATTTGAACCTCTGAGAGTGGCGATGTAGTCCAAGGTTCTGTGCCATTCTTGTAGCCATGCCTCCTAGTTGCGACGCAGCTGAGTAGCGAGATGATAGCTGGAGATAGATCTGGGCAATCTCTAACCCTTGGAGCGTCGGTAAAGACGGTCGATCCTGAAGCTGATTCACCAACGCAGCGGATATGGCATAGTATTTTTCAGAAAGGCAGAGGAAATGCCGGTGGCTCTGAACGCAGGAGCCTGGATGTCCCAATGTTCCTAGAGCAAGTAGACCTAGAACCTGGTACAAGAAACTGATATCGCCGTGTTCAGGGTCATCATTCAGCCGATGTAAAGCCTCAACGGTGGAGTGTTTATGTACAATCGGATACAATGGTGTCCAGTGGTCGATGGTCGCCTCGAGGATACCAGCAGCATCAAGCGGAAGTTGGGAGATCATAGCAGCGACAACCTGCGACTCCAGACCCTTGGGCGATGGGCCCCATATGTTGTGAAGATAAATACTATAGATGCTGCTTGGGAACGTTTCGGTGTGGATCCGTAGCATTTGCAACTGCTGCTCAGCCTGGCTGATAAAATGCACGCCCGTTGACGACCCTGCAAACATAGCTGTCTGGTCGTCATTGGACACAAGTCGGCCCATGTGGCCGATCACCGGTTCCGGCATTGGCCTCGACTTCGCGTTTGAGGCAGCCTCTTTACTTCGCTGCCAGGCCGATGAAGCCCTCGGGCCAGCGTTACTTGTGAGTGTACTCCGATGTGAGTGCTCTGAAACGATTGGCTGTGAGTTCCTTGTGTCTTGAGAGAGAGAAAGGGAAGCCGAGTCAACATTGCTGCCATGAGCCTCAGGTGTCTTTGAAGCTGCGGAATCGTCATGATTTTCCTCAATTGCTTCATTTTCGTAGTAACTAGAAGCGACGGTCAGCAAAGAAATCATTGCCCACCTCGATCTATTCGGTCGCGGGTTCTTAGGCTTTTTGATATATTATGTATATAATAACTTACCTCTTCCTCTTTCTATTGCGTTTCAGCTTCGTTGACACAATGCAGGCCACGCCTGCAGTGATACAAGGCGTACACTACCAATTGGAAAATGTTTAGTTTCAAAAGTCTGGATTTGAGCAGGTTGCGTAGGAGAGACAGCCAACTTACCTTTTCGCCATCGCCATGACATCGGATTTTCCTCCTGAAAGAGAAAGGACGCAAGTCAGCCTCGAGCATCGGACGCAGATGGATCAAGTTTGCCATGGATCTACAAGGAACTTTCGTTTGACGATTACTTACCGCCGGTAGCGGTCACTATTAAACTTATTAGCAGCTTGATCATCCGGTGGGGTTCTCTTGGTTCCTCTTCAGCTCGGATTAGCATACCAAACTTGTCCAGATTGCCCTCCGGAAGGATTTTCCTGTCCATGCATCCTCCCGTTTCGTTCAGCATCATTGAGGGCGTTGAACTCGCATTCACTAAGAGTGTAGTTGACTCGAAACCCGAAAAAGGCTGACGCGCTCGTCGATTGTGTGGTGGTGTTGTGGGGAAAGTGATGAATGTGGGTCTGCATCGCTCCCGAAAGCCGGACCTAATGCACATTAGTCATAAATATCTGTTAGTTGCATAGTTTGTCATGATTTTTCCAGAGCTCATCATCTTAAACCATCTTGTTCCTCCTTTAAACCCTGGTTGGTGCTAGTCATCTTCGTACAACACTATTCCGCTATTCCGACCAGCCGGTTGTGAAGTTTTACTCTCAAGACCCATCCAAAACAAGGAAGCTTTTGAGGCAAAATCGTTACCCTCTGGTTTTCATCTGAATAAGGCGTTGAAGTTAGCGGCGCGCTAACAACAGCCATACAACCAAGTCGCCAACGCTAATTGAATTGCAAGCGCTTAGAGATGCAACAGTTTGCTGCGATGCATGACTATTCCGCTCTCAAGCTTCGCGAGAAATCCTGCGCAAGTTAAGCGCCACATACTTTACACGAACAAGGATCGATATAGCATTATTTGAACGGAGAGAGTCAAGCAGGCCTAAGGGCAGCTATTTGTTGAGCAAAACTCCCGTGAAACGCAGTCTAGGCTGTGCTGGAAACGGGCTTTCACCTCGTGTCTCTGTTGATGGCTTTGGTGTCACGTCGTTGGGTGAAGTAGTAGCGACTGAGACTTGAAGCTGCTTGAGATGGTGTGTGTATGTAGTGTGAAGCTCAGAAAGGTAAAATCGCTCCGATCCCAAGTGGGGGATCGGAGCCAAATTGCCTTTTGTATCATCGGCCCCACCTGCCTTTACGGCTATCGTTGGTGGGCCCAAAATCAACACGCTCTCTCCGGCACAACGCACATGTCTCTTACAAGGAGCAAAAACAACCATGTCAAGAGCAGCGTGTACCACTTCTTCCCGGTATTGACAGTGAAAATGTCCATCAGTTCATCTGAGGTTCAAACAGGGGCATATGAACCAGAGCAGCGTGACCAGACGCCGCGAAGAGGAATCAGCCGTTCCAAACGGCAGTCATGGTATGTTCAATTCAAATGTCAACTCCTTTTGCGTCTCAAGATGGTGCTAACGCCCTCTCAAGTTTACGATGTGTTCGACTTCACTTGAAATGTAAGTCGGGTCCAAGTATAATTGGCAGGTCTAGTATTATAGAGTCATACATACTGAAGGCCATCTGCCTAGGTGACACACCAAGTCCGACAACTTCCCTCTCGCCTAATTTTTCTTGGCATCTGCTGTTAGTGAATGAGTGAGCCTACCACCAAATTACTAACAGCCGAAAACTCTTCACCTCCCCTTGCCGGAGCCCGCATCCGCGATGGCCTCACAGCCGCCGTCGGGCACCGGACTGATGTCGGCCGACCAAGCCGACCCCGAACCAGGCCCCGGGACACCTCCGGAGCCGAACCCCACCTCAAGAGCTAAGCGACGCCGCGACGCCGAGGCACAGCCGACCCGGCCCAGCCTAACGGGAAGCCAGCTTGATGCCACCACCGACGCCCCTACCTCGGCCGAGGGGCCCGCAGCCTCTACCGCATCTGCTCCGAGCGGATCTGCCACAGGGTCCGTCTTGACAGCCCTTGCAGAAGAAGCTAGACAGTACGAGGCACGGAAAGACGTCTTTCTGACCATTGCACGGTCCGTCGACAGCGTTGTCGCCAGCTTTGACGGTTCTAGAAAGCAGATCGCGAAAGAAGCCACTGCCTATGTCATTCAAACCCTCAAGAGACTGATCAATCACGAGACAAGCCCAATAGCGGCCCGGAGTTGGGCGGCTGTCGTCGCACCGATGGCGGGCAACACCACTGCGGCGACCCGGAGCGGCCAGAGCTGCCAGAGCTCTGCCCGCCCGAAGGCCACACTCCCCGCCGAGGATCAGCCGCAGGCGCAGCCGAAGGAGGACCTCCGCATCTTTGCCCGCGTCCCGGAAGAAAGCTTAGCGGCCGCTCGGAAGATCGCACCGTTCGCCGTACGACAGATCGTCTGTAAGGCCGTTGGCCTGGGGCTAGCGGACCTTCCCCACGTCTACCATATCAGCACAGGTTACTCTCTGAAGCCGCGAAACAAGCAAATACAGGAAAGACTACTTACAAGTAAGGCAAAGCTGGCGGAATGCCTCGGCGCCCACCAAGTCGAGACGCCTATCAAGTGGCACACATACGTTGTGCCGCGATGCCCAACAAAACTACACAGCATTGGCGGGGACGTCCTGGACCCAGCCACACTCGTTGAAGATGAGGTCTTCGCACAGACAGGACAGAAGCCTGTCCTTGCTCGACCGTCCCGCCTTGGGCCCAACCCAGTCACGAACGAAATATCTTGGCTCATATCATTCACATCAGAGGTCACGCCCTTCAGGCTCTTCAACCAAAGCGGCAGATCTCTGCCCATCAAAAAACGAAGGACGCTCATCCGACATGACCCCGGCTGCCAGGGCTACCACGCCAACCGGTTCTGCGGACGACGACCGACTTGCAGCAACTGCGGAAGACCTTCCGACTCACACGAAACGGGACCTTGCATGGCCAGGCCCCAGTGTCCCAACTGCTGCGGCCCCTTCCAAGCCGGCCACACAGACTGCCCAGCGAGGCCCTCGGTCGTAAACGGCGTCGTCTCCCTTCCCGGTCGAAAGGAGCGGGCTCGGATCCGGAAGGCCGGCCAGAAAGCATCGGACACTCTGTACAAGGCTACTCGATCCGACAGTAGCCAGGAGGCGGCAGGCGTCCCTACCTCCACCAGCCAGAACCAGCAACCCGGCGCCAAGCGCGCGCGCACGAGAACGCCCTCCGCAAGCTCGATCGTTTGCCTCGGTGACGGAAGCACTGACAGCAGCAGCATGGATGAAGACGAGGCGGACGAAGGCGAAGGCGAAGACTCCCCCGACAACACCTCCATCGACCGTCCCGTGCTACCCATGCCAAGCAGGAGCCAACGGGCAGCACAGAAGCCAAACTACAACGTCGCGAATGCCTACACCCACCTCGAACTCGACTCGGAGACGTAAGCCGAGAGCGGCGACCCCACGGATGCTACGCGTTGCGCAGGGCAACGTCGGAAAGATCTCCCCGGCGCACACGGCTTTCCTGCAGCTCTGCTGGGAGGCTCAGATAGATGTGGTCCTCGTCCAGGAACCCTGGACGGGCTGGAAGGACGGAAACGTGCAACTGAACACGCACCCGGGTTTCGACTCTTTCGTCCCGGTCGACTTCTGGGACAGCGAAGGAACCAGACCAAGAGTATTGACCTACACACGCAAAGGGATAGGGATGACGGTGGAGCAGCAGAGGCCTGTCCACACGAGAGACGTACTGTGGCTGGTGGTCGACAAAACGACGACTATCGTCAACGTGTACAGACAACCCCGCGACCCCCACAGCCGCACAACAGGGATACTGCTAGAACTCAAACCCCCGGAGCGAGCTTTGATCGCGGGTGACTTCAACGCGCATCACTACTCTTGGGAGCCCGGGACGAGGAACGGGAAC